CCAGCATGACAAGTGCGTGGGATGATCCTCCAGAATATCGTCTGCTGCTTGTGTCAATCAGGACGGCCAGCCCAGCTCTAGCCGGAAGGTGTGGATTTACGTGGTGCCCACACTGCCGGAAGTGTGTTCGGGGCCGGGGGCGGCGTGGAGCTGGCCGGAGAGAGCCAGGTGTTCAGGCCTCACCTGAGTCAGGGAACTGGTGTCCAGGGGTCTCTCCACTCAGTGGTCTCAGCAGAGACGCCCTGTTTGGGGCTCATCTGCTGATGGAGTGTGATAGGAGTGCTGGTCGCTCTCCAGCTCTTAGAAAATCTAAGTGGGCAGCATGGCAACGGCCCCTTGCCTAGAATAAATGAGGTGAGAAGTGAGTAATGTGTCTTTCCCCCGATGTGTTCGGTGTGTGTGCTGGGAGTGCACACGTCTACACATGCAGCTGGTGGTCGGGGTCAGCGCGTGCCTGCAGTTTAGCATTTATTTTAGTCGTTGCAGGTAGCTTGCAGAGTAAATGGGAGGAAAAAATACATACACTTAGACCCGTGGTCAGGGTGGTAGCTCATAAAATGGCTTGGCAACCCTGAGTAGCGTCCTGGATCACGTAGGAGGTGACGTCCGTCGGGTAGGTCACAGGCTGGGGTCTGGAGCCCTGGCGTCCGGCCCTGGCGCTGCCATTAGCCCCAGGGCCGGGCTGTTGTCACCTCTTAGAGGCATCACTGTCTCTCCTTCACAAAGAGAAGGGTCCGTGGGAGGACCACCAAAATACCTTTCTGGCGCTGACGTTTCGCGTTCAAGGAAGTGCTTCCCGAGCCTACCGTGTGGTTTGGCAGCTGCCTCCGGCTCCCTCTTCATTGCACTGGTAGAGTGCTGGAGATGCTCAGAGGACGGTAATCACCTTCATAGACCACATTAAAGCACGTATCCATTAATAAAGTTGACTGTGACTCAACGGCCCAAGTTGCCATAGATTTTCGGTGCCCCAGCTCACCGGCCAGGCTTTGCGTTTCCAGAGGAGAATGAAAAGTTCTGCAGGCAAAACACTCCATTTCCCAGTGCTTTGAAGTAATTGCATGTTATCCTGTTCAAATTCAAGACGATGAGCCGGGCCTCCACATTGAAATCCTCCCACCGCCATCATTGTGACAAAAGTTGGGGTGGCATGGAGGTCTGTTGTGGAAGGAGCCATCAGAAAGCTAGGAACATCAAGTACATTCTAGAGACCGTAGTGCAGGTGCATCCAGATGCTAAAAGGCTGGTCTACGTGTAAGTCACCACATGGGAAGGAGCTTCCTATCTGGAGAGGGAGAAGAGGATCCCGTTCCCTACCATGACCACTTTCCCTTTCCCCAGCGGCTGAAACGCCATGACACTGCCAAGCTCTGGTTGACAAAAGCAGAGGGAGGGGGGAGGGCCGTTAGGCTGATGATTTGCAGCTTCCCTTGGACATTGGAATCCCCCGAGAAATTTTAAGAAGCCCTGACATCCAGGCCCCACTGTCAGAGCTTCTGACTTAATCGGCCTGGGGTTCAGAGCGGCTGTGGGCGTCCTAACGTGCCGCCGTATCGAGAGCCGCGGTAACAGGAAGGCAGTGGGGTCCTGCTGAAGGAGGGCCGCGCCACCAGCCAGAGAAACGGGCAGCGCACGGTGAATTTGCTGCCTGGGACAGAGGGGCTTCTCATTTGGCCAGACACAGAAGTACCCAAATCTGTATTCTCTTTATGTGGACATAAAAGATGCGGTGAGGAAGGAACACAGTCGAGGCAGAACTTGCCTCAACTCTCAGTTGAAGTTAGAGAAAGGAAACTGTTTCCTGATTATGGAAAAAAGGAAATCAAAACAGAAAGCATAAAAGAGGGTGGCAGAAGTGAGACGATCTAGGCAGATATTTCCGTCACGTGCAGGGGTCAAGCTCTTGTGAAAGGACACAGACTGTGAATCCGATGTGGTCTTGTCCTGGGACACTGCCTCCCGCCTTTGCCAGACCTCCCTCTGCTCCTGTGACAAAAGGAAGCCGTGAGGAGTCGGCTGTCGATGGTGTGGAGTCCTCCCTGGTCTCCTTCTGGATGGCCTGCTCTGTCTTCTGGCGGTGGTCTCTGTCCACGGGGCGGTTACCATGTACACGGGGCGCGTGGTTTTCCCGGGGTGGGGCTCAGCTCCCTTCCAGCTCGTTCTTCACGGGGACAGTCACATCTGCTCTGCGTCCACCAGTGGTCCGTGAGCTTGACCCTCTGGTCAGGCGTCACCTCCCCTGGCCGGGGCAGCCTCTCCGCTCCTGCTCACCCCCTCGGCTCCGCTCCTCCACAGGGAATCATGAGACTGGCTGAGGCCACGCGTCCTGTTAGAGGCTGTCGTGCCCTGGAGTGGGGCCACACACCTCCTTTGTGGACACTCTTATGTTACTGCCACAAACTATCCAAGAAAGCATTCCATGTTCAGAAACCCATTAGCCTAGATCACTGGGGGCAAACGTTCTCAAACATTCAAGACTGAATATTTTGGAGAATAGAAAACAAGTTTCTGGCATGTTCTGATACCAAAACCTGACCAGAATGGAAAAGGAGAGTAATTTCGCTTTTGAATAGAGATGTGAAAATCTTAGATGGTTAACAAACCCGGTCTCTCTGTCGGATGGAAGTTTAACACACGTGTAAGTGGTTCTTTCAGGGAACACAGATCATCGCTCATTAGAAAACCTCCTAAAACTAGTCTTAATACTTAAAAAAATATGATCCACTTGCAATCAAAATGCAGTTCTTAAAAAGTAATCTCTCTGCCCAGCGTGGGGCCTGACTCATGACCCTGAGATCGAGAGCCACATGCCGTACCGACTGAGCCAGCCAGGTGCCCCCAAAGTGGGATTTTTATTGGGGGGACAACACTCAATACATTGATACTTAAGTTTGCCTGGTTGAATGATTTCATGAGAATAGAAGATTTTGAAAGATTAGAAAGTGATGAGGAATTTACCTTATTAGTAATTAACGTTTACTTGAAAGCCACAACATTTAAAATGATGCATCGCTGCAGGTGCCTAAATCGATCAATGGGAAAAAAATAGAAAATCCTGAAATACATCCAAGTGCACGTGATAATTAAATATATGGTAAAGGTAAAAGTAATATTTGAAGTCAGTAGAGGAAGAAAGGATCATTTAATAAGTTGTGTTGAGATAACCCTTGAGCATTGTTAAAAGTAAATAACACCTCTATTAGCCAAAATTCAATGGAGTTAAGAGTAAACATTTTCACGTGAAAAAGTTAAATCATTGCTGGGATTAATTTAGTTGAATATGTACATACGAACGAGGAGGAGGAACCTGGGATGCAAAGGTTGATGAACTTGACCTGTATGTATGCCAAAACCAAACAAGACCCCCTTCCCTGCCCCACCCTCAGGACACATTCCAGAACAGATTGAAGAAAGCATGATACACTGGGAATAATGCTCACAGAAAAATGACAAAGTATAGTAATTAGTATAGTATAGTATAAAAGGGGGCTCCTAAAACTTTTAAGACCAAAAAACAATAGACAAATAAATTGAAGAAAGGGGGAAAGAGGAAGGAAGGAGGGAGGGAAGGAAGGACCTTAACTATCCAGCAATAGGAGGTTAGTTAAAGAAGTCATGTCATTGGGGCGCCTGGGTGGTTGGTTAAGCCAGTTGGTTGAGCGTCCAACTTCAGCTCAGGTCATGATCTCCTGGTTCGTGGGTTTGAGCCCCGAGTCGGGCTCTGTGCTAACAGCTCAGAGCCTGGAACCTGCTTCAGATTCTGTGTCTCCTTCTCTCTCTCCCCCTCCCCCATTCACGCTCTGTCTCTCTGCCTTTCAAAAATGAATAAATGCTAAAAAAATTTAAAAAAAAAAAACTTAAAAAAAAATCAGGACACCTGGGTGGCTCAGTCGGTTGAGCATCCCAACTTCGCCTCATGTTGTCATCTCATGGTTCGTGGGTTCGAGCCCCGCGTCGGGCTCTGTGCTGACGGCTCAGAGCCTGGAGCCTGCTTGGGATTCTGTGTCTCCCTCTCTCTCTGCCCCTCCCCAGCTCACACTCTGTCTTTCTCTCTTTCTCTCAAAAATAAATAAACATTAAAAAAAATCATGTCATACTGATATAGTTGACAACTGCTCAGCAATTAAAAGTAATCTGGAGAAAAAGTCACAATAATATGTATAGGAATGTCCTTTCATGAACATATTTATGTAAATACATATGTAGATATATTCATAAACACATCTGGAAGCTTCTCCACCAAAACGTTAAATCTCACATTGGTTATTTCTGGGTTAGTGGGTTACAGCTGACTTTCCTCGATTTTGCATATTCTTCTCCCTCCCTCCCTCCTTCCTTTTCTTCTTCCTTTCTTACCATTGCCATGTTTTAGTTTAGAAATTAAAAAATAACTATTTGGAAACCATTATTCCGAGAACTTCCTATAATCAGCCCAGCACGTCAGGCTGGTCTGTGAATAGTCCACCTGTTCTCTCCAGCATCACATCCTGCCTCATTCCGTGTCCCGGTCACTAGCTCCGAGAAGATGTCCCGACCACACAGGGCTTTTCTGCTCCTTCCTTCTCTGAGCTTCTGAGCTATAAGTGACTCAACACCTCATCTTTGTCCTTCAAATGTTGCACGTGTATTGTCCGATCTTCACAAAGAAACCATAAGCTCCCTGAGGGCAGGGGTTGGGCCTTGTAGTTCTGTCTCTCCCTCGGGCTCCATGCAGAACCAAGGAGCTGCTTCAGGAAGGTAGGCCGGGCCTGACTCCTCTGGATGGGGGTACCCAGGGGAGAAGCCGTGGGCCCAGGAGGTCTGCGAGGGCGTCATCTAGTGAGGGGCAGCCGGGACAGACCCCAAGAGCGCAGCATCAGTGGGCCGGGTTGAGCCAGCCTTTTGGGGAAGAAGGCAGATGACCTGGTGTTCATGACCCCTCCAGCTCTCCACCTTCCCCCTTCTCCAAAGATCATGTGTCCCATTAACCTGTACTTTTTGTCTCCGTATGACGTGGACAGGTTCTAACGTTCCCATGGACCAGCCCTGCTGTCGTGGTCTCTATGATTTTGAGCCAGAGAACCAAGGAGAACTAGGATTTAAAGAAGGAGACATCATTACATTAACCAATCAGATAGATGAAAACTGGTATGAGGGAATGCTCCATGGGGAATCTGGATTCTTCCCCATTAATTATGTTGAAGTGATCGTGCCTTTACCTCAGTAAATGTGTAACTCAAACTTTGGACCTACTTTCATAACTGAAATGAATTCACACCAGTGTTCTCTCCGTGTGGCGTTCTGTGACATCCTTGCTCTTTGACCCACTTAATGACTTTTGTATGTGTGTTCTCTTTATAATGTATTTTGTATCAATTTAATTTGTATAAATGATTTTCTTGTCTTAGCTACATGAAAATATACTTTCCTTTCTCGCTTAGTGTTCTAAAAGTCTTCGGTTGAATAAATGTCCGTGCTTCTCGTTGCTAAGAATAAACCACACCCATTGCAGTTATGTTAATGAATTGCCTATATTCCTCAGCTGCAACGGAATGCAAAATTTGAAACTTAAGAAATGCTAAATATTTTGTTTCCTGACGTTACTGATGTCATCTGGTCTTTCCTTTCCTCCTGTTTTAGCTGACCTGTGAATAGCCCAATAAATATGACACACCATGTTGGCAAAAGGCCGTGGTTATTCTTAATGTTGAATTGGCTTTCAAGCGTGGCGGTCCAGCTGTAAACTCCCCCTGTGCCCCGTGGCTGACCGGGGGGCGCCGGCGGGGGGGGGGGCGGTGGGCGCAGTGTGGATGCGTGCATGCTTCTTCCAGACTAAGTCCGCAGGTCTGAGAGGGGGCTTTCACTGTCCCCCTGATTCAAACACAGCACACCCTCCTTCCAGTTCAGGGATACGGGACTTTTCCATGCACTGTCAAGTTTATTTATAATAGAACCTAACACAAGCTTCTGCAGCTGCCAAATATCGGGTAGGTTTTTCAAGCAGGTCCCGTTGGAATGCTCTGGAAGGAGCAGAATGGGGAGTTGGGTTGAGTGCCAGTAACAAGATTGCATAGTTTCAGAGAACCAGCCCCTGGCCTCACCCAGGGTATGCACTCGTCACGTACTTTGATCCAGGGGCGGCCACAGCTGTCCTGGGGGAGGGGGCAGGTATCCTTTCTCCTGCAGAGAAGGAGGCTCATTGGATGGCTTGCCCAGGATCAAACAACGGTGGTGTGAGAGGCAGAGTTTGAACTCAGATTATTCACTGAACCCCACGACTCACTGAAGTGCTCACCCAAGCCTTCTGCAGAGGCCAGGTTGGTCTAAGGTGACCAAAAGCAGATTTCTCAGTCTTCCGAGTCCGTGGTACATCAGAAAATTCCCAACATCCAGGATGCTTTTCCTCCTTTCTTTTCCTACCAGTCCCTCTCCCCCACACCTTCTCTAAAACAGTTGTATCTATAGTGTCTGTAATAAAATAATGGTAACGGCTTTTATTGAGTACTTACTCTGGGCCAGGTGCTACTCTAAGCATTTAAATGAATGAAGTCACTTAATTTTCATAACAGTCCGTTTTGCAGATAAAAGAACTGAGATGTAGCAAGGCTAGGTAATCTGTCCATAGTCACACAGTCTTTTTGAAATGCCACAGCTGGGCTCCTAACCTAGGGAGTCTCCTTGCCTCTCCTGTGCTCCTCACCCCTGCCCACACCACCTCTCCGACCATGCATTTTCCCACATACACTCACAAAGGAGCTTTTTGTACCCCATCAACTTTTCTTTTCCAGCTGCCATATTTGAAATGTATCACACAGAAGGAGAAGTCCAGAGCCATTCTCAATCCCTGTACTGTGCTTTGGCCTCTTGTTTGGGAAACAGGAATTACAGCTACCTGAGAGCTGTAGACTGGGGGGCTCTTGTGAGGCTCCAGTAAATGGCTCCCCTCTTCCCCTTCTGAGTTCTACAGAAGCTGGGGCGTTAGTCAAGGGGGAAAGCAGAGGAGAACCAATATGTAATTTGCATTGTAAAGGCCGTGTCACAAGATGTAGCTTAGGATGAGAGCAAAGCATCTGCTGAGCCCCGAAGGAGTCAGACACCTGGTCTGGGGGGAGGTGGACCGTCCTTACCTCCTCTTACGGCGACAGAGCCTTTAACACCGAGCTTACTGCAGAGCTGGCAGCAATCAAGAATGCACGTTCCCGGGTGTCCAGGCCGCTCAGTCAGTTCAGCGTCCGACTTCGGCTCAGGTCGTGATCTCGCGGTCCGTGGGTTCGAGCCCCGCGTCGGGCTCTGCTGACAGCTCGGAGCCTGGAGCCTGCTTCGGATTCTGTGTCTTCCTCTCTCTCTGCCCCTCCCCTGCTCATGCTCTCTCTCTCTCTCTCTCTCTCTCAAAAATAAATAAACATTAAAAAAAAAAAAAAAGAATGCATGTTCCCTGCCTGCAGGCCAGCTTCCAGGGAGACGGGGGGGCTATGATACTCGTGCCCAGTTGCTAACCCGAACTCAGTCCACTTCCTCAACTAGCTAGGGCTACTTGGAGAAAATCCCTCCTCATAGAAACTGGGAGAATGGGGAAAAGGTATTGCCCTCTAACTCTGGGGAATGGAGATGGGAGCATACCTCAAGGAAAACTCAAGTTGAGGCCCAGACACACCTATATGAAAGGGGAAAGGGAGACATGTGGAAGAAATACCCTTTATAACTTCTTTAAAAAATGAGTGTATATCCGTGCAATAAGGCAAGGAAAATAAAAAAGTGGACTAAAGATTGAAAAGTAAGAAACACAACTGTCTTTATTTGCAGAAAACAAGATTGAATAGACAATTATTAAAGAAGCTATAAAAAAATCTAGAATATGTATATATACTAATGTATATACTAGTATATATGCTAATGTTATATATATATATATATATATATATATACACACACACACATACTGTAAATTTGTCAAGATCCTGAGATTGTATACAAAAACCAATTATGTTTCTATATACTGGAAACAATTATTAAATATCAAATTAATCATATAATAGTGAAAGGCAATGTCATTTGTAATAGCAGCAGAAAGTACAAAATACTTAGAAAATATCTGAGCGAAAGATAAGCAAGACCTTGGCCCTGAGAACTATATAGCTTTGCATATAAAAATCGAAGACCTAATAAATGGAGAGAGATACTCAGTATTGTGAAAATGTTCTCCCCAAAGTGATCTATAAATTCAATGAGATTCTAATCAAAACCCCAACAGGCTTTTTGTTTAAATTAACTAGCTTCTAGATTCTAGATTCTAGAATTTTATGGAAATGCAGTTAGCAAAACAGTATGGGATTAGCACAAGTTTGGAGAAGTAGGTCAATGGAACAGAACAAAACGTCTAGAAATAGGCTCTTGTAAATATATGGTCAATGTATTCTCAACAAAGGTGTTGAGATAATGCAGTGGGGAAAGGAAATCTCTTTTCAACAAAGTAAAAGAAACTTTGATCCTTACCTCACACCGTACATTAAAATCAGTTTTAAATGGGTCATAGACCTAACCATAAAAGCTAAGACCTTGAAGCTTTTACAAGAACACATAGGAAAAGGTCTTCATAACATAACCTTGAGGTAGGCATAATTTCTTAGGACACAAAAAGCAATAGCCCCAAAAGACAAAATTGATAACTTAGACTTCATTAAAATTAGACATTTCTGCTCATCTAAGGACAGCATAAAAAAATAATAAAAAGACAAACCATAGGTGAAAGGATTCACAGAATGTATCTGGAAGAAAAATATCACAACTCCTATCTCTCAACTATAGACGTATGCACAGAATATGTGAAGAATTCTCAAAATTCAATAATAAATAACTAAGAAGCCCAAAGATTTGAAGACACACTTCACAAAACAAGCTGTACAAATGCCCAATAAACACATGAAAAGATGCTCAAATCATTGGCTGTTATCAGGGACTGGTCCTTGGGTGGTACCAAAGAGGCTTGGAATTATAGCATACTACATAAGATACCCCCCCAGTTGCCAGGCTAGCCCCATTCCCAGAGACATTAGCAAAGTGAGGCCCAGGACTAAGACACTTACCAGCTAATTTGTAGCAAATAGGTTCTAGCGGTCATTACTGAAAAAGAAACAGTAGTTTAGAGCTGCATACCTACAGAAACATAGGCAAAGGGCAGGGACTGTTGTGTCCTAAGGTTTCTAAATATCTGCCCAAGGTGATACCATCCATAGATGTAAGAGTGGAGCCACTGAAGATAGGCTGAGCGATAGAGTCGTCCAGAATGTTGAAGAAACTCCCACTGAAGTCTACTCACTGGCACAACAGCAGAAACTGACTAGACATATATTTTAAATATTAAGAAAAGTAGAGGTTCTGGGTGGCTCAGTTGGTTGAGCATCAGTCAGACTCTTGGTTTTGGCTCAGGTCATGATCGCATGGTTCGTGAGTTCAAGCCCCGTGGTGGGCTCCACGCTGAAGGTGTGGGGCCAGCTTGGGATTCTCAGTCTCTCTCTGCCCCTTTCCCCCACTCTCTGAAAATAAATAAACTTTAAAAAAAGTCTTTGATTAGCAAATTCCCATGAGGAAATGAATATATTGTGCCTGGGTCCTGATGCTGAACACATGAGCTGCTGGTGACTGCTGGTGGATCCGAAAATGTTACCAAGTCACCCTCACAGAAGCTGTGTTGCTCCCCTGAATACATGGTCAGCATCAACGATGACAACCATGGCCAATACCCCTCCTCCCTCTCAAAATGCAGACGCGCAGGCAGCCAGCTCTGCCTCTCCTGGGCTGATTTGTAGGGTCTGAGCTGGGCAGCTACTCCTGACCTTGTCCCTTCTGTGTTTTACCAGCCACATTTCCTGAAAACCCAACATTCCTGTTAAATTTTGAATTTCACTCCGTATATCTATGCTCCAGATCCCTTTCAGTCTAGCACAGATCCCTCACAGTCTAGCACTGCTAACCAGGTGAGTTACGGCCTACAGCACAAGCACTCACGTGATGGACCCACGATACTCTCTTGCTTCTGGGATTCTGTGGTTGTCTCAAGGAAATCAATCTAGGGAGGATCTAAGGAAAAGAGTTCATCAGACAAAGTGGTTGCCGCTGACCTGCCCTTGTAAAACTCCCCTATCTGTAGCATGGGCAGATACAGGTGTTCTGCGCCTTAACTCAAGTACTGACCCCTAGGTGCCCGCCCATCGATAGCAGAAAGGACTT